TTTCTTGACTTGCCGGTTGAGAATGGCCCAGAGGTTTTTGATGGGGTTCACGTCAGTAGATTGGCTCGGCCATGGCAACTTCTGGATACCATTTTCTTCCTGCCAATTTTGGGTATTTCTAGCAGTGTGACACGGTGCTCCATCTTCCTGGAACAACATTGTGTTTTTGTCCACGAAACCCGAGGAATAAAGTGGCAAGAGTCCTTCCTCCAATACTTCGACGTATTTCGCAAAATTTATGTTGCCAACGCACTCCACTAAGCTCGATCTCCCACCAACCCAAACAGCTCCCCCAAGCCATCACGCTGAAACCACCATGCTTCACAGTTGGCTGCAATCTGTTGAGCCAAAACTCTTGGTTAGGCATTCTCCAGACACATATCCTTCCACTGTCCGAAAATTGAGCAAATCTTGATTCGTCTGAGAACAATACGGTCTTTCAAAAGTCCAAAGGCTTGGTCATCATATCACTTGCCCACTTTTTTCGTCTGACTATCTTACAGGTCTCTACAACGATAACCCAATCTGTTGAGAATCCGTTGAACAGATTTCGGGCTCATCCCACCAACTTTGGCCACTTCTGCAGTCGTTAATCTGGGATCCATTTCGATGCTCCTCTTGACAGCCCTTTTTGTCCTCTCCGATGGACCAGGACGACCCAGACGCTGCTCAGTTGTTTCCTTGCCATGCTTCCTGAACTGCACGATGATTCTGTTGACTGTCAAAAGCGGGATTCCCAAATTCTGCGAAATTTGCCGCTGACTTATTTCACCATCTGCTTGACCAACTATCCTTCTTCTAACAAAATCTGACAATTCGAGAGAACCTTGAGTTCTAGGAATGTTGTAGCACAAGATAATTAGTGTGTGGACCATTTTCATTTATATAGTGCTCTGTGAACACAAGTTAGTTAGCATAAATCAGTTAAATGACGAAAAATTAGGTGTCCATTTACTTGTGACCACTCAGTGTATACAATACCTTGAGACTCTTTGTGCTGCCATGTATTGGTGCAACTGACCTTGTTTTTTAGTAATGATTGATAACTTTCCGCACCATACTAAACTGGCTGACACATTCCTTAAGTAAAAAAAAACTGACAGAATCGAGTGGTCTAATGCTCAGAAGGCTTCATTTTTATCGGGCATTTCTAAAATACCCTTGGGAGATCTGTCGCATTCGTTCATACAAATCCATCCAACAAAAATGCCCTATTTTTGGAGCAGTGACCAAGGATTTCTCACAATTTTAACATTGATTTAATTACTGAACATCAAAACCGGTCCTCTTTTACTCTATACTCAGTTAAAGTGTCACGAACTTTAGAAAATATAAAAACCAACTCTACAAAAATCTTCATTTAGAGAGAAGGATGAATGAACATTCATTTAAGATTCCGTTTACGTGACGAATTATCAGATGCCTGTATTTGCCTAGAATAAATTGGGATGATCGATATATTATTTGTTTTTGCTTTGTCATAGCTGAAACATTACAGATTTCAGTTATTATTCAATTATTTTGCGCAGCATTTATTATCTGGCCATTCCTCCACCTACTGGCCTACGTTTTCACTCGCAAACCAATCAATCTGTTAAAATGGAATGGAATGCAATTTTTCCTCTAGAGGATTCAATTCATTAGTGTTCCTCGTCTTCTGATTAGAAAAAAAAAGTGTTATCTAACCACTGCAGTTCACTCATCTAATCTAACTATCCATTACACCATTTACTCACACTTCTGTCTACGTATTTATCCATACGTTCATACACCATTTAATTCCCCCATACACCCGATTTTTATTCTAGTTAGTTAACAATCCTTCACCACCCACTCTTTAATTTTTCTTCTTATCTAGGTGTTTAAGCACTCAGTTATCCAGTTATTCTCAACAAGCCAAATATTTTGTTTTACAGTGCAGCCTAATAATGAATTCTATCAACACTTTTAATTACGTAATCATATAATACAGAATCTTTTACATTCATGCATTCAATATGCAATGTACCCATAAAACAAACCATCTGTATTCCAACTCCATTCACCCAGCATATGTATCCAATTAGCCTGAGTGTGATATAGTGGTTAACGTGCCCAAACATTGTTAGTGTTCAGCTGCTGCAATGTATGCTCCTCACTCTGTGGAGCCGTAGGTGCGTTATAAGAGTGATGGTCAACTCTCACTTCAAAATTAGGGACGAATTTGCGCAGATAAAATTTGGTTAGAATTGCACAAGCATTCTGCATAAACAGTTATTTTGAGTGAGAGCTCCATTACTTTACAGTCAATAAATAAATAATTCAAAACGTAAAAGTGAATAGCTAAAAAGTATTTACAAATATTTAAATTAAATAACAATTTTGTTTTTCGCCACTCTCCCAAATATTACGCTTTACGGGTTATTTGGAGTTCATTAGTAATTTG